CTAGCCATCATTAGTGGCTTCTTCCGGAAGAGGCGGGGGGGGGGGGAGCGGGGCCTTCGCTTCCGGTGGAGCCGGGTTTGGCGGCGGAGATGGCGGCGGCGGCGGCGGAGATGGCGGCGGCGGCGGCGGCGGCGGCGGCGGCGGCCTCCTCGGCCTCGGGTTCTGGGGGCCCTCGAGAGGAGCCCGAGACTCCGATCCTGGCTTGGGACGAGTCCCAGCTCCGCAGCTATAGCTTTCGGACCCAGCCCATCCCACGCCTGAGCCAGAGCGATCCTCGGGCGGAGGAGCTCATCGAGAGTGAGGTGGAGGCGGGGGGGAGGGGAAGACAGAGGAAGGGAGGCCTGACGGGCCCTAGTGGGGTTTCCGAGAGAAGCTTGGAGAGGGGAAGGGTCGGGGGAACATGTGAGGGGAGGTTCTGGGACGGAAGGGAAAGGGGAAAAGAAAGGGTCGGAGCTTTGACAAAGAGGGGTGCACTTGAGGAAGTCTAGGATGTCTGAGCTTATTGACAGTGGAGTGGCACTAGTCCGGTGCTAGGATTTGGAAGAGGTGGGATTTCCGAGTTTTTAAAATTCGGAGTTAAAGGGAATTGGGCAGAGGGGGGTGTTTTGAGAGTGAGGTTGTAGGGAAGTTCAGAAGGGAAGTGGTGTGATGGATCTGAAGAAAATTGGAGCAGTTCGAGTGGAGTTTGTTAAGGGGGAGTCATCTTAAGAGTGGGACACATAAGGGAGGAAGTGAGGATAAGGTTCCCGGGAGTGAAGTGTCTAAGGAGGCATTATGACATGGGAATGCCTCTAGGATGGCACTGGAAAGAATAAAATAGAGTATGGCTTGCAGGATTGGAGCTTGAAGGACTGTTCTCCAACTTTTTTTTTTTTGCCTGGTGCTCTTTCCTCAGGAGCCTGTGGTATTGACTGACACAAACTTAGTGTATCCTGCCCTGAAATGGGACCTGGATTATCTACAAGAGAATATTGGCAATGGAGATTTCTCAGTGTATAGTGCCAGTACCCACAAATTCCTGTACTATGATGAGAAAAAGATGGCTAACTTCCAAACTTTTAAACCAAGGTCCAACAGGGAAGAGATGAAATTCCATGAGTTTGTAGAGAAGCTACAGGACATACAGCAACGGGGCAGTGAAGAGAGGTAAGCTGAGTAGGAGCTGTACTGGAGTGAGGGGTAAGGGCTAGAATTGCAGTAGATAGACTTCATCTCTTATTCTTTCTGATACCCTGTCAAAGGCCACTGTGCAGGAATTGCCATCTTAGAATTCCACTGATTTAATCCTTAGTACTCTGATGACTTTAGATTTTTATGTTTTCTGGTGGTTCGCTGGTGTAGCAGGCAAGGCCAGTACAGTTAACTTGGGATCTGAGAAGTGGCTGATGGGTAGATACGTGGTTGCTTTTTGATTGTGATTTGTGATCCTTGTCTCTATAAGCTATTAGCAGGAGACAGTGCTGTGTTGGGGGAAGAGTGAATTGTAGATGCAGCCTTTTGGACAGCCTACATTGGTCCAGATGAAAAACCATTATTGTACATCCATTGAATTGTCATACATCTCTAGGTCATGTAAATAAATGTGTGGGAATTTGAGCCTTCAATCTCACATCTCTCTCTTAATCATTGATCATTGCCCATCGTCGGTCTGGCAGCTTATTAGTGCTTTTGGCTTACAAAATTCACTTCTCTTCTTAAAGCAGCTCATCCTAGGGTCTAACCTAGGGTTGATCTTTTCTTTGAGTAGTTTTTCACATGGATGTGTGATTATGAGAGAAATGATTATTAATAAGGGGGCATCCAGGATTTTTCCCTATTTCCTCATTCAGAGACCAGTCTTTGAAGTCTGTGTTGGACCCAGCTGCTCCCTGATCCTACCCAACTAGGAGAGTTTATTTCTAATTAAAATATAAAGAGTATTTAATCTAGGTGAATTCCCAGCCCATTGTGTTTGATTTAAGTGGTCTGGGTAGAGATGGATTCTTTTGTCCAAATAGCTAGAGGCAGCTGAGTCTCTTAATCTAGCCTAGTTCTCCACTGTAAGAGCTGAAGACTTTTTGCCCATCTCGGCTTCCACCCCTTCTCATTGATTGTTCACCAGTCTGGGTTGATCTCTGTCTTTCAGGGGCACCCACTTTTCCGATTTATTGATTATATGCTAGCCTAAATTGATTAATTGCCCAGAAACTCTCATGGAAATTATTATTCATCACAATTAGATTATCTTTGGGCATTTCACCACCAACCTCATCCATTCCCTGGTCTTCCCAGCACTGTGTTCCATGCACCTGGGATATTTCCTTCTTCATGGTATTTTGTTGCCTTTGGATTCTGATCTTTTAGGAATCTCATTGCCAGAGGAGCTTAAATTTCTTTTTGTGGGTAGAAGACTGTATGGGCTTTGATATTGTGTCTTCTGGACACCTGTCCAGTAATTGTTGTGCTGTGGTTCTGGGAGAAAACAGGTTTCTTGTGTAAGAATTCCTCTGAGCCTGTGCACTATATCTGTCGGGTGTAGAAGGAGCAGTGTAGGAAGCCCAGGATTCAGGGCTCCCAGCACCTTCCTAGAACTTCTGCATTTAGTTTGAGTTTAGTAGTTTCTCATCATTAAGAGCAATCCAGTATAGTGGAAAGAACTCTGCATTTGGAGCCAGAATACCTGAGTTAAAGTTCTGGCTCAGTTCCTTAATTTCACCATGGCCAAGTCACTTGAACTTTTTTTTAGTCGCAGTTTTTTCAAATCTGTAAAGTGGGGGGATTAGATTAGATTGACCTGTCAAGTCCTTTTGAACTTTAAATTTTGTGATTGTTAAGGCAGGCCCAGGAGATATGACTGCCTTCCTGATGGGAGTAAGTAGCCCTTTTAGGCCTTTGAAGGATTGAATTGTTTCCTATAAATTTTTCTTGCTATTTTGCCCACTTCTTATTCTTTTGGTGACAGTCATAGCTGACACACACTTTGTTTACAAAGCATATTCCATTGGTTTTGTTGTTTGATTCTGCTTTTGAGATAGTTCAAATAGTACTGCCACCTTGAGGTGATTGATAATCTTCTAGGCTCCTCCTAGAATGTCATTGCCATGTTTGGCCTTGTGTGTGATTATGGCCAGTTCATCTGAGCTGCCATGTCCTGTGGGTAACACCTGACTGGGAGAGAAAATCTTCAAAAGCCTTATGCTTTATTTTAGAAAATTGCTATAAGCTGGAGGCTTTGAAAGGCATAATAAGAATTCTTCAGTCTCAGGAGTTCTTAAGAGCATAGGTTCGATGTTAGAGCCCTGAGATATAGGGGAAAGGATTTAGATTTCCTAGATTAGTATTGGCTGTTTGCAGCTGTTCCTTGTGGGGGTTGTGCCAGCTTTGGGTGTGGGTTTGTATTTCAGGATGTGGGGAGGCTGTGACTTGAATCTATGCTAATGAAACTTTCTTCTTGGGGAATATAGGTTGTATCTGCAGCAGACTCTCAATGACACAGTAGGCAGGAAGATTGTCATGGACTTCTTGGGTTTTAACTGGAACTGGATTAATAAACAGCAGGGAAAGCGTGGCTGGGGGCAGCTGACCTCCAACCTGCTGCTCATTGGCATGGAAGGTAAGAAACTAAGCCAAAATCTAGAAGTGGTTGTAAGTTTCAGTGACCCAGTGCTAGAGTAATCTCCCCAGCAGATTGTGGGCCATACCAACCTAGATTTTAGGAGTTTCTCCAAAGCACCAAGGTCTTTATCATGCCCAGAAAAGTGTTAATCTGGGACAAGATGTTTGGTTTCTGTCAGGAGAGAGAGTGTCTTTTCAGTCATTCATTTAGTATTTAGGTCTCTTAGATTTGGGCTCTAAAACAGTTCCTCCCCTTCCAAGTGCTTCTTTAGCAGGTTCTGATTCCTTATGATCTAACTTAATGTCACAGTTCAGTTTTATTTGAAATTTCTTTCTCAAGCTGACACACGCTTGCTCTTTGCTGACCTAACAAGTTATTTTTGAGTTAACATACGGTCTTGTTTTCCTGGTTGCCTGCCATTGGTGGGTAGTGGGGGAGCAGATCATCTCATCTTCAAGGATATTTATGAACCATTACCATTGAAGAAATAGTTCTGAGCTGCAGAGATTTCATTTTTGTCACTCAGGAATGTGTACTAAATGTCCTCTTTGTAATACGCTACGTAGATTCTGTAAGAAGTTATAGCACTGGCATGGGTGGAGGAGGTAAAGATTGGGATGGGTTTGGGCATGTGCTGTGAGAAGGTCAATTTATTTATTTATGTATGTATGTATGTATGTATGTATTTATTTATTTATTTTGGTGAGAAGTTTAAAAGCCAATTCATACAGCTCAGATTGTCTGGCTGGCTTCATCCAAGAGTGGAATGCCTGTGTTACTCCTTGGTTTTCAGTGTTTCTTAATGGATTTATTTAAAGTGGACTTTTTAGCAAAAGGTATTAGCCTTGGAAATCAAAAAAATGAGTATAGTCTGCCATTTTTGCCGAAATTACAAATACTGTTTTGGTACATTATCTTACTCTTGAAGCGATACCAGCTGTCAGCACAATCTGATATTTTATGATTGGCAAACTTTTTAGCTCTTGATAGTTAGTGAACTACTTGCACATTAAACATCTATCACTTAGATGTTTTGCTGGAAATTGTGATTGTACATGCTTAGAATTAGTTCATATATATTTTTGTAATTTTGATGATTTGGGGTCCTTAGGTGGGTGGAAAGATTGGAGATTCCCAAACATCAAAGATGTTTGACCCTTCAGTACTTTCATGCAGCCTCTCCTAGATTCTGTATTCTAGCTGAGGGGGTGACCAACTACAACCAACTGTATTTGATACCTGTTTTTCTACAGACTGAATGAAAAATGATTTTTACATTTTAAATAAAATTTTATTGTATTTAAAGATGTAAAAAACATTCTTAGCTCATGGGGATATACGAAAACAGGTGGTAGGCCAGATTTGGACCTTGGGTCAGAGTTTGTCAGACCCCTGTTCTGGCCTATTCATTATAGCTCTGTTGTTGATGACAGTATCTTCACTATTGCAGGAAATGTGACACCTGCTCACTATGATGAACAACAAAACTTCTTTGCTCAAATTAAGGGCTATAAGCGATGCATCCTGTTTCCTCCAGATCAGTTTGAGTGCCTCTATCCTTACCCTGTGCACCATCCCTGTGATAGGCAGAGTCAGGTGAGTTAACAGGGTATGGGGGAAGGCAATTCAGACTCATTCATAATATTTCTCTTTCATGGGAGAGTGGGCACTGTTGTGTTGAATCTTTAAGTAAAAATCGCTTACCTGGCAGATGAGTCAGAATTATATTTTAGCATATAAAATAATTCTGTAATTCTTTAATTATTATTCTGTAAAAATTATTCTGTAATTCTTCTCACTTGTAATTCTGTATTCTGTATTCTCACTTGGCAACAATTCCCAAGACCTTTGTATTGATGTTTTTGATGTTTGTGGGTAATTGTGCCCTGTATAGGTTCACTTTTTTTTCATTATCCTTTTTTACTATACTTCATGTTGTCTTGGAGTGGGCTGGTGTGTTTGGACTAATCTTTACCGTCCCCTAAAAAGTTTATTCTCAGACCCAGACCTTCAAGCTGTGTTCCCTGAGTTTTGAGATTGTTATGTTAAGTCATTGTAGTTTGCCAAGCATAGAACAGAATAACTTGTATACATTATCCTAGGAAGTCCTAGGCATAGTAGGGCATAAACTGACTGTGGGTAGCCACGGAGGTGTTAATTGGCTTTCTATAGAAAATGATTTCTGACCCATCACATGCAGGATTCTTGTCCCACTAGGATATTTTTGTTTGTGCTTTGACAGCATATTCCAAAATTCCCAACATTCAAACTTTTGGGATAAACTCCCAAACCTTTAGGTTGTGTCAGTCGTTTCCCAGACTACCAGGTCTTAGGATCCTTCATAGTTAGACTTGTTGTATCTATTATTCTCTGATTGTTTCATATGTTTAGTTTTGCCTCCCAAGTAGGCTATACATTTCCTGGTATTGTGCTGCCTTCACCTTTTAATTCCCAACATCCGGCTCAGGGATAGAGATTAAATCTAGGATTTCATTGGTGTGGGGAACTCCAGTTAAGGAAATTTCTTCTATCAATGCAGGTAACATCTAGCTTAGATATCAGTAAATACTTGTTGGCTGATAAATTTCTTCTCTCACTGAATCTGCCAGGTGGATTTTGACAATCCTGACTATGAGAGGTTCCCAAACTTCCAGAATGTGGTTGGCTATGAGACGGTGGTTGGCCCTGGTGATGTTCTTTACATCCCTATGTACTGGTAAGAAGGGATAGGAGACGGGTGGTGGGGAAAGTGGCCTCATATTGTGACTTGGTGTGATGTCCCTTGTATTCCCTGGTGAGAACTACCTGTGTTCTGTGAAAGTGCTTGAAACCTCCTTGGTTTTGCTAGCAGATCCCCAGTGGGTGCTCACTAAGCCTGGCAGGTGAATGACAGTTCTCTCTTCTGATAAAGGCAACATAATGTTTATTCCTCTTATCAATAAAAATCCCAGAAGGTCTGTTGATCTTGTTTCTTTGATATTTGGAGACTGAGTATAAGTCTTGTCTTAAGAGTCTCAGTACCCTTCACCTCAGGGGTTTTAGGTGATGACTTAGCTATTTTTTTATATTTTTGCCCTGGACCTTGTGTAGTTCTCACTTCATTCTGAAAAATACCCATGGCAGAACTGGAGCATGTTAGTTTATTTTGTTGCAGGTGGCATCACATAGAATCATTACTGAATGGGGGAACCACCATCACTGTGAACTTCTGGTACAAGGTGAATATTATTCTCCTGGGGTAAGGGTGGTGATGGGAGGAAGTCAGGCTATGGTGTGCTTATTCTGGGGCTTAGTTTCCCTGGTGAAGTGAAGGGTTTCCATTAGTGAGAAGATCACTTCGTGGTTCAGGTCTCCTTGTGGGCGGGGGGAGGTGAAGTAGCACAAGTCTGAGGGAGGTTCAGGTGCCCCCATAAGGGGAAGGAGTGACTTAGACTTTGCTGAACTCAGGGAGGTTCCCTGCGTACTAGTTTTTCTTAGAAGAGGTCCAGAGAATCTTGCCCTTACTTGCTTTCTAAATCTTCACTGTGGACTATAAACCCTAAGGTAACTAAGCCTCCTAGACCTTGCTGATGCCCAAGTCTTCTTGATTCCTAATTCACTTTCCCCTTTTCTCTGCTTTTGCCATTATAGTAATAGTTAACATTTACAAATAATAGCAGCTGACATTAATGTAATGATTTAAGGTTTGCAAAACGCTTTCCAGACATCTTATTTGATCCTCCCAACAACCCTGAAAGGTAGGTGCTATCATTATCCCCTTTTAACAGTTGAGAAAACTGAGGCACAGAGGTTAAATGACTTGCCCAGACTCTGATAAGTGTCTGAGGCCAAATCTGAACTCAGGTCTTTGTGATTGCAGGTCCAGTGGTTTATTTAAGGCACCAGTAGCTGTTTTATATAGTGCCTTATATAGCACTTAAGATTTCCAAAAGAGCTTTATGTATATAAGGTAGCAAATTTGAGCCTCACAACAACACTGCAAAGTACTCTAATATTTTTCCATTTATCCAGGGAAGAGGAAACTGAGACTTAGCAGATAAGACTTTGCCCAAGGTCATGCAACTAATTAGTGTTCAAGACCAGATTTATCCTAGGTCTCGCCTTACTCACTGTCAGGTTCACATCTGCTTCTGCTTTTCTTTGTTCTGCCACCATATACTCTTTTCTATAAGAGTTCATTTTAAAAAATTCTTTAATTTTGTTTTTTTTCAGTTTACAATCTATTTTCTCTCCTTCACACCTTGCTCCCATTGTGGGGGCGGGGAGGAAAACAAATTCAAAAATATTAATAGTCGAGCAAATTCCCACATTGGTCTTTTTTTTTTTTAAGTCTTATTTTGCATGGTGTACATTTTCCAGGGTTTTTATTGTCAAGGAGGAAAAAGACTACACATTCAGAAATAATATGACAGGTTAAGGTAATTAGAAGTACATACCATACATACATACATATATACATACGTACATACATACATACATAAAAGCCCCCAAAACTATACAGTCCCTGAAAGGGTTGTACCTAAATTTTCTAAGCTTCTCTTTATGGTTATAGTTTGTAGAATCATAAGATTTCAAGGCAGAAGGGATCTTAGAGATCATCTTTTACAATGTCCTCATTTTACAAATGAGGAAACTGTGGCCCAAAGAGTAAGTTACTTGCCCGGGGTCATACAGGTGGTAAGTAGCAGAGCTAAGATTTGAATCCAGGATTTCTTATTCTAGTTCCAGTGCTTTTTCCCTACTACACTGTATGATTCCTTATGCCTGGCTTGGCCTGGTTTTGTTTGGTTTTGTTTTTAGGTCTAGAGCTTCCAGTTCCCTCCTCATTTCTGCAAGAGAATGGTGTCTTTACTCCCAGAACACCCCACAGTTCACTGGGGATTTGTCGGTCTGAGTGTACTTGTTCAGTCACCATCTCAGGCCTGCTTAAGTGTGCTGCCTCAGGAAGCCTTCCTTACCTTGACTCACTCCCATCCTTTCATCCTTGCAAAAGGAAATACAAGTACAATGTATTTTAAAAATAGAATACTGCACAACTCCCCGAGTACAAAAAAACCTCATGGTCAAATGGAGAGAACACTAGATTTTGAGTCCAAAAACTTGTGTGCTTTAGATCTAGAGTGCTGCTTATTAGCTCTGTGATATTGGGCAAGCCACTTCTAAGGACCTCAGTTTCCTCAAGTGTTAATTGAGTGGTTTGGACTAGGTGACTTCTAAGGTCCCTTCTGGCCCCAAATCTGTGCTCATAGGATCCTCGGTTTCCATCACAATGAGGACCTTTGATAATGTCGGTATTTCTCAGCATCCATTGGTTGTGCCTGTTCTCTGTCCAAGGACTGAGGGTAACTTGGATAATTTCATGAACTGCTGCTTCTTTTACAGGGGGCACCTACCCCTAAGAGGATTGAATATCCTCTCAAGGCTCATCAAAAAGTGGCCATAATGAGAAACATTGAGAAGATGCTGGGAGAGGCCCTAGGGAACCCACAAGAGGTATGGCTAGCCCTGGGTTGAGGCTGTGGCCATTGGGTGGGCAGGGGTGTTGATGGGCAGAGATAGAATTTGTGTCATCAACCCTGGTTCCTCTTATTTTGGAAACTATTGTATTTTCCATGAAGGTTACAGGCATCTTTAGAAAACCCTTGTTACCTAATGAATGCCAAGCTTGGCCGACAGATCTATGGAACCTGTTCTGTGCTGGCAGTAATTTTCCCTGTGGGGCTCGTGTGCTGGCTGGGGGAATCCTCCAGGGATTTTTTGAAGATTGGGGAGAGAGCAGTAAAGCATTTCCTGGCATGCTCACAGCTGTACCAAGGCAGCTCTGGGAATTAGTGGGACCTGATTCTCACAAAGGTACTTCAGTGAATCAATCAGAGCATAGGAGAGGCTGATAGTTGTGAAATATTGTCTCCTCACTATGGAGGGGGACACTGCCATATTCAGTGCCCCAAGGACACTTGGTGGGTGTTAGGTTTATGTTAGCCTTAATTGCACATGATCTGATAGGGACACACAGCATCCACAGAGTTCTTCGTGGAGCCTACAGAAATATGCACATGTGTGTCAGTTGTCTGTTTAGGGATCAGCTCTTCTGTCCCCTGGGGAAGAACATGGCATCTGTTTATCAGCTCGGCACAGCGTGATGCTGCAGGGCATTGTGGGAGAGAGCTGATGCAAAATAGACTCCAGAGGGTGTTGGCCATTCCCTGTAATGTTAGGTGGTCTCCACCCCATTCTTCTAGTTGAGAGGGGAAGGAATGGAGGGTAAATGAGACTTCACTTTTGTCTAAAAGACAGCCAGTTTCCCATCCCTAGCCTGTCCGAGGTCTTCTGCAGCTGCTTCTTTCCCAGTCTCCAGGCCAGGGAGGTGGTGGTGAGATTGTTGCAGGTAACTCTGTGACTCAATCCTCCTGTCTCTGCACAGGTGGGCCCCTTGTTGAACACGATGATCAAGGGTCGATACAACTAGCCTGCCTGGAGGTTGAGGCCTCCTTCTGGGTGACTGCCATCCCTCCCATCCCATCCCATCTCGTCGTCCGGTCCACGCTGCTTCGTTGATGAGGACTGGAAGATCCAGAGTGATAGTAATTGCACGCAGCACTTAACAGACTGGGTTCCTGCCCCAGCCTCCCAGGGCAGGAGTGTGAGGTCAGGTGGGGGCAGTTCAGCAACCCACCCTCCTCTGCTCCCATCTTGAGTGATTTCTTCCTTTTCCACTTCTGTTCCTACTCACCTTCCCTCTTTGCCCCCAAGTCCTGCATTCATTGTGGAGTTCCAGCTTGTGTCATTGTGTGTGTGTGTGTGTCTGTCTGTCTTTCTTTGTGTCCTTTCTCCCAGGCCCCTGAGGCTGTGATGGTGCTCTTGTCACTTGGCATGATGTCCTACAGTCTCACTGCCATTGTCTGGGTAAGGAAAGGAGCCAAGTCTACCTGGATCATGTTGACATCTTTGAAGGGAGTTTGTGGACCTGATGACTAGTCTCCCAGGCTCCTGGAACTTCTGAGTTTTTCAGCCTTTCTTGTCCCCATTCTGGCTAGATAATCTGCCTGTACATCAACAGTCTAGTCTGATTTTTGTACAGCATGGGTGTATCTTGGGTTCCACAAGAAGGAAGGAGCTGTCTAGCTTGTGTGTGTACATCTTTGTCCCCATACTGTGGCCAGGATCTGCCTACCAACATACTTCCACAATCTGACTGCCAAGACTGTGCTACAGGAGAAGGAGCTTCCTGGCCTGTGTGTGACTCTTCTGTTGGCCACACTGTGGCTGAAGTCTGTCTATCAACGCTTCACGTGCTGACTTGGTTCACTTCCACTGGGTACTACTGCAGGGAAGTTGCTGCCTGGCCCACCATGATGATTTTTAATTTGGTTTTTAACCTATTTATATTGGTTGGGCCGTGCTGCAACAAGCTTGAGGTTTATTAGATAGAGCCTCTGGGGCTCAGGAATCCCCTTTCTAGCCCCCTTCCTTTGGGATTCAGTTTCCTGGCTTTCTTGCTCCAAGCCAACTGCTCATCCCCACCGATAGTGGGGTCAGTGATGGGAGCAGTTGAATGGGGCCTAAGAGGTAAACTGGGGCTGCTCCCTTGGCCCTCACTTGGGGAGATGAGCCAGAGCCCTTGCCATCACTCCTAGTTCTGAATGTACAGATGCTCCAAACCTCTGAAAAGCACCCCCCCCTCCCCAGTCAAAGTAGCTGCAGCCACCAGGGATGGGCCTTTCTTTGGTCCTCTTGAGTGACTTGAGGACTGCCCTCCTGCAGGAAGTCTCCCTGGAAGGAGTGAGGGAGGTGGGAGGAAATGTGTTTTATTTTTTCTTTTTTTTGCCAAAGGTTTAACTTCAGTGTCTGAGCAGTGGTTCTTGTTCCCAGAAGCTCAGCTTATAATGCACTGATAGACTAGTGTATGTAGGGGAGGGGGTGTTTACTTTTGTAAATTCCCTGTGCTTTCTATGCCTGCCCTGGTGTTCTCTCTGATGGGAACAGGGTGTGTGTGAGTGTGGAAGACATGGCACCTTCTCTAGTGTAGTTCTTTCAATAACAACCAGTGTTGGGAAATGACCTGAGTGCTATGATCTGTGTTTCTTTTTGGTCTCCCACCTGACCTGAGGGTTTGTAGTGAGAAAAAGGGCAAGGAAAGCCAAGCCTGGTGGATAAACTCAGTCTTTCTCTTATACCCTCAGTAGTAAGTCAGTAGCAACCCATGCCAGGCCTCTCACAAGCCCCAGGGCAGGAGGCACAAATAACTGGTTGTCAGGGCTGCTCAGTTTGGATTTGAGGATCTAGCTGAAGGCATTTTATAAAATGCAACTGGGTTGGGATCTGAGTGTTATCCTCTTCCCATCTCCTGGCTGGCTCTGCTCTGTTCCCTTGACATTGCCAGGCCACATTGACTCCAGAGAGTTTGAATCTGGGCAGATCCCCTTTCCGTCTCTTCCCCCCCCCTTCCCTTGCTTAGACGAAACACATGCTGTGGATGCCCCTGTCTAAACTCCTTGATTGACACAAAGCGGTCCTCTTCATGGTGTCTGCTAACTGATCATATAAGGAAATGGAATGTATAGAGTAGAATTCTTGGTCAGTGTAAATGTCACTTGTTAGGCCAGCAGGTGGGAACTCTGGTGTCTCACCTTCCACCACAGATACAAAAAAAGTTATGATTAATTATGCAAAGTCAAATATTTGTTGGGGGCTCTGGATTGGGGGTGGGTGGCTCTTCGCAAAAATAGAGCAGATGCCCAGGACGCCTTGGGGAGATGCAGCTTCCCCTACAAATCAGAGCTCTAAATTACAAGGTTTTTACCAACGGGAACAGTTGGGGAAAGTCGTCTGCTCATTTGCGTAATGGTTTCTGTCACTGGTGATTAGACACAGGATGAAGGAAAAGAAATTTGACAATTAGGAATGAGCGATCATTAATCTGAATCTGTTAGGAGACAGAGGGGAAGGATCTCATCGATAAGCAAGAGTGACCCAGGTGCAGGCCTTGCCCCCCTGTGCAAGTGCTAACAGTTAATATACCTCCAAAGTGTAAGCTGGGCCCTTGTACTTAAGAACGCAAAGGAGGTGGGCAAGGGTCCAACTCTAGTATGAGGGAGATATTTAGGTTACGATTCCTGATACATGTTTACATAGAAGTCAGATGAGAAATATGAAACAGACTAAGCACCTAGCTCTGTAGGTAGTGGTTAAGTCTTTTCCTAGATTTCGGAATGCAGCTCTCCTTCAACCCTTTGCATCCTATTTCCCCTTTATTGCCACTCAATTTGTGATTGTTAGCATGGCCACGTTAAGCATGTTATCTCTTCAGACTGGTACCAGGTCTCTTCACTGTACTCAAGGCCATCTGTGATCTGGTGAGAGTGTGTTCTCAGTGCTATCAATGATAACTGGCTAGGAGGTATAGACATACCATGATTGGGAATGAGTCATAGGGCATAAAACCTAAGAGTATATAATTTGCCTCATTTTATGTGTACTGTTTCCTTTGTATTTGTGCTGGAATCTCCAGCCACCCTGTAGGGCTCAGCTCTGTTGTGGAAGCTGCATACTAGAGGATATCCTATGTCAGACCCGAGTTCAGATTAGCCTCTTTGGGCTCAGTTTTCTCATCTATAAAGTGAGCATGTTGGACTCAATGACCAGTACAATGACTACCAGCTTTAAATACGTCTGAATTACCCTGACTGAGGATGCACAAACCTTTCTTGCCTTTGAAGGAAACAAAAGAAATAGGGATGCGAGTTTATAATTTTTATCCTAATCTTGCTGAGATGAGTATAGCTTTTAGGATACCCAATCTCCTGTTCCCATTTCTCACCTTAAAGTAGTATAGAACTCAGATGAGGAAGATGCTTCCCTGTCTTACTCCAAAGGCTGGTTATGCACTGTCCTCTCATCCTGGGTGTCCTGATTCTGGTCCCAAAGATGCTACCTTCTCCTTTGGAGTAGTTTGCCTGAAGCATAATTAAGCCATCTGGTTCTTTTAGTCTGAGAAGCTTGACTTCTTGTAGTTCCAAGCTTCTATCTGTGCCTAGTAACCGTATGACCTTGGTGGTGGGCTCAGACCTCCCTGCCATTACATCTTAACTAATACCTGCAATGCAGTAGTTTTTCCCACGCCTCTCAACTGAGTTCTTACTTCTTTTTCCAAAACTGATGCCTTCTATTAACAGTTGCCAAGTTCCTGGATCCTTCCAACTTTTACTTCATTGGCAGACTATATATGATTGACAGCTCCTGAATCCAAGGACTCATCAGAGCTTTAAAGGCTATCCTAGGTTCCTTAGGGCATTAGATTTTCAGAATCCTTTGCCTCCAAGTTCATAGTAGAAAAATGCACATAGTAATAATACTCTTTCCATAAGAAATAAAAGTGTGAAGTATCTCCTTTCTAAAGTCCTTAAGGAAACAATCTGTTTTCAGACTTAGCCATACCCACCCCTGATAATTAGATATTCCTTCAAGCAGTTTTTGGATCCCCAGCAAACTGGGCCATGTTACTCTGTGCTTATATCATCATAGATGTGTCTTTATTCTGTTTTCTGCAGTAACTGCTAGAAAAAAATATTAAACTAAAGGGGAAAAAAACAGCTTAAAAGTGATGGGCTTTACAAGTGATTTGATTGTAGGACACATTTTCTTGCCTAAATCTGGCTTATATTTTTGCAACTTATATTTGGGCCTGCATATTGTAGAAACAGCTTATAACTACATATATAGTCTAAATATCTTGGGGATTTACTTCAATAATCTGGAAGGCACCTTTGAAATCAAATCCATTTCTTTTTTCTTTTTTTTTTTTAACAGGCAGAAGTGAAGTGATTTGTCTTAGGTCACACAGCTAGTTAGTAGTAGAACTGAGACTTGAACCTAGGTTTTCTCTCAGTCCAGAGTTATGACCATATTTTGACCTTGAAGTAAGAGGCAGCCAGGTAGTATAGTAGATAGTGCTCTGGGCCTGGATTCAGGAATGGCATGAGCTCAAATTTGGCTTCAGATATCAGCAATGTGACCCTGGGCAAATCACTTATCTTTTAGAGGATCAAATGAGATATTTGTAAAGGCACCTTGCACACCTTTAAAGTACTGTATGAATACTAGCTGTTACCTCCTTTTAAGATGGCAACAAGGAGAATGTGCTCATTACTGTGATCTTCTGGAGAAGTGAGAATCAAGGCCCCATTTTTAGGTAGTGTAACTTTGATCTTGAAGAAGGGACATTAAAGACCATCCAGCCTAACTTCGATTTCAGAAGAAAAAATGTGAGGCTCCCAGAAAGGTTAAAATTGCTTGCCCTGATGTCACAAACAGGTAGTATCAGAGCTCTAGTTCAGACTTGGTGTTCTTTCCGTTGGGTTGTTTTAATAGCAAGATGAATCCTTGGAAACTTGGGAGGGAGGATCAATTTCTAACTAAAGCTCAGTAAGAATCAAAGATTTAGAACCAGAGAGGACTTTAGAGATCATGTAATCCAACCTCATTTTATAGGTAAGAAGAAAATGGGAAATTCAAAGATAGGCAACATGACTGAGCCAAAGTCACAAGTTGTAGGAGAAGGTAAAATTTAAAGGGTGCTGGATTTGGAGTTTAAGGACTCACCACCTGTAGACCTTCCATGTATAGAATTGACCATCTTCAATTCTACTTTACCTTAGAGTAGATAAAAAACCTTGGAGGCATGCCAGGTACAGGATCCTTGCCCCCTTTTGGCCAGCTGCTCATTCCTTTGGACTTGCTGGAGGTCTTGTGGCTACTAAAATACCTACTTGGTTTCAGGCTGATGGAGAGACCTTCCTCATCTGAGATTGGAGGATGTCTGAGAAGTTTTGTAGTTCATAAACTCATCCACATTCTAGGACGTTTTGAAAGAGTGGTTCTACCATTCGCCTCACCCTCACTCTGTTTTCCATTGTCCTATAAATTAACCAATGTTCCATCAACCCTTTGTGTTGCCTCCCCCTAACCCTCTGGGACTACACTAAATGCAACAATGGCCAACCACTTTCCTAGCCTCAATTTCTTCAGTCTCTGGCCAATTCAATGCAATAGGGGCAGCTAGGTGGCGCAGTGGATAGAGCACCAGCCCTGGAGTCAGGAAGACTGAGTTCAAATGTGGCCTCAGATAGTTGACATTTACTAGCTGTGTGACCTTGGGCAAGTCACTTAACCCCATTGCCTAGCTCAAAAAAAGAAAATTCAATAAACATTTATAGAGAGAGAGTGTGCTGTAGAGAGCTAGCTTCAGAAAGATCTGAGTCCAAGCCCCACCTCTGAGACATGCTGGCTGTGTGACCCTGGATAGGTCTCTTAACCTCTTAGTGCTCTAAGCAATTATAAGTTGCAGGGACAGTGCTCCTCTAGGAGTTCCCCATACCAGTGAACTCACAGGTCCATACTCTGTCCCTTTTATAAGCACCGTGCTGATGCTGGATATACAAAGAAAATAGTCATGAAGTTTACCAAGAGTTTATCACTGAGCCAGGCAGTATCCTTGGTTCTTGTAACATCTTTATTGGTCACTTTGGTCCAATTACTTTGTAACATCTATTCCCACAAGTAACATCTTTGTTAGGCGCTTTGGCAAATATGCCCCTGTACATACTTGAGTCACATTTTGTTCAGAGATGACACGTGTGGTTCCTACCTTCTCAGAAGTGGTATCACCTACTACATATTTGGGCAGATGTTGTGGGGGCAAATCTCTGAAATTATTCTGCTTATTCCCTCTCCAATTCATTAAACATTTATTCAGGAGATAGACATAAGGGAACTAGTCCGTCTCTGCCTTTAAGGAGCTTATTGCTCTTTCTACAGACAGACCTCTCAAAAGCTGGTTGATATCTGGTGGAAAGGCTATCATTTGTTCTCAGGATACCTGTGGGTTGCACCTCACCTCTATTCCACGTATTGCTAGTTAGTGGCCTGGCTTATCTTCTCAGCCCTACTATCACCTTGAAATCAGCCAGTTCTCCATTTCTGCTAGCTGATGGGCCAAGCAGAGTCACACTAGTTCTGCCATCCATAGCTGTGCAGTTTTTCCCAGCGGCTGAGAGGTTGGGGAGGCTCTTTGCAGCTCCTACAGACTGTACTCATGCTCCATCCTGGGACTTAAACTACTGCACCTGCTTGCCTGTAGTAACTCCTGTGAAGACTCTCCCTCAGCACAATCATTCACGTTCTAGTCTGGGGCTCCAAGGTTGATTTGCCAATTGTTTGCACTTCCATAGGAAGAGGAGTACAGAGTTGACCTTTGAAAATTTTTTTTACCAACTGTAAAAGGATGTTTCTTCTCTTCCGGATTAGTCTGCTGCATGATTCTGAAGTGGAGTGGTGGAGAAGCAGACTTAGGCTTGATATGGGTAAAAACTTATTGTCAATTAGAACTTTCCATAGATTGCCTCAAGGTAGTGAATTCCATGTCTACCATGTTTTGAAAAGTGAAAGACATTCAATCAAATAGAATATCAAAATAAGTGACAAGAAACTAATACCCCCCCCCCAAAAAAAACATTTTCCCTCATCTTCCTATACTAAGGGTAGGGGAGAGGATATATGCATGAAACATGACCAGAGAATATGCTTAGTAGGTGCACATGTTGAGACCAGGTATTGGATGACCCTCGTGGCAAAAGATAACAGAGATGGTCGCTGTTCAGGGACAGGTTGAAATAGATGACCCTAGAAGTCTTTTTCAACTCTAGATTCTCTCTGCCACTTTCAAAACACACACATATACTCCTGAAGATAAGGAGGAGGAAAAGGATACGTTCGAGCCCTTGGGATGAATTGGGGAGCTAGGGGCAGAAACCAGAACTCATGGCTTCCAACCTTTGTCCTGCACCTTGCTATGTGTTAGGCACTGTGCTAATTACAAATATATGTATATATGTTATTATTATTTTTTTTTTGGTTAGGCCATGGGATTAAGTAACTTGCCTAGGGTCATGCAACTAGTAAGTGTTATGTGTCTGAGGCCAGATTTGAACTCAGGTCCTCCTGAATCCAGGGCCGGTGTTCTATCCACTTTGCCACCTAGCTGCCCCTAATTATAAATATTTCGCTTGATCCTTACAAGAACCTAATTCCTATTGTACAGATGAAGTAACCAAGGCAGACAGGTTAAGTGACTTGACTAGGGTCACTCGGCTAGGAAGAGTCTGAGGTGGGATTGGACTTGGGTCTTAATTTCAGGTCCAGCACTGTCCGCTGTGCTATCTACTTGCCTAGGTGGTGGGAGCTGGGGAGGAGCTTCATGTCCCGTTTAACATGTCAGTAAGACCTTGTAGCTGAGCCTCACTGTTGTATCTCAGTTCTCTTAAAGGTGGTAATATCACTTGAGTGACTGAACTATTCAATGTATTGGCCTGTTACCCTACAAGTGAATTTCTGTTCGATTGCAAAGACCATATACTTGTTACATCCAGGTTCTATCCCAGATGGAACTCCTGAACAGACCATTTCATTC